ATATGTCTAAGGTTCTACAGTTGGTGGATGACTTGTATTCGTCTTTGGCCTAAAAATTCAGCACCTAGCCTCCCCTCATACTTGCCCTACCTAAATTTACCTTGATTGTAATGTATATAACTTCAAACAGGATCACACTGCTTCCCTTGCCTTACTTAGTTGCTTAGCACAGAACAGAGGCGATAGAAAATTCTGGGTTCCCGCCCAAGCTGGACTGAGAAAGGGAATGAGCTACATGACATGGAAAATCAGTACCCAGCCTCCCCTCATACTTGCCCTACCTACTTCACAAGGATAATGAAGATAAAATGAATTCAAGGCTAGAATAATACTTTGAGGGAAAAAGTACTATGTGATTATTCCCACAAATTATGATTTTCCATGTCATGTAGCTCATTCCCTTTCTCAGTCCAGCTTGGGCGGGAACCCAGAATTTTCTATTGCCTCTGTTCTGTGCTAAGCAACTAAGTAAGGCAGGGGAAACAGTGTGATCCTGTTTGAAGTTATATAAATTACAATCAAGGTAACTGCTATCATTAAGCAAATTGAAAAACAGCACAGAAAGGTTAATGTGCAACTAGGACCCACTAAAGCACAAAGCAAAGCAAGGCAAGATTATCAGGCAGGGCATGATTGCGTGGAAGAAAAAACGTGGTATCTTGGATTAATAAAATGCGGTATATGTATACCATGGAGTACTATTCAGCTCTAAGAAACAATGGTGATATAGCACATCTTATATTTTCCTGGTTAGAGCTGGAACCCATACTACTAAGTGAAGTATCCCAAGAATGGAAAAACAAGTACCAGATATATTATCCAGCAAACTGGTATTAACTGAGTAGCACCTAAGTGGACACATAGGTACTACAGTAATAGAGTATTGGGCAGGTGGGAGGGGGGCGGGTATATACATACATAATGAGTGAGATGTGCACCATCTGGGGGATGGTCATGATGGAGACTCAGACTTTTGGGGGGAGGGGGGAAATGGGCATTTCTTGAAACCTTAAAATCTGTACCCCCATAATATGCCGAAAACAAACAAACAAACAAACAAAAAAAACGTGGTATCAAAATTCAAACTGGCACACACAGGCATCTAAGGCAAAGTGGTGGCAGCGAAGAGTTAACTATACTGCATTATGTAAACAAGAGCAGAAGTTTCATGGGAACTTGTGTAAAAGCATCTTATGTCACACAGATCTCTCCAGCTGCCTACAGGGAATATAAACAACAGTGTCATCTTCATTTTAAAGAGTGACTGTACTTGTGCTCATATCTTAAACTATATCTAGGAGTAGTTCCTTGCTAAACTTCCTTGGCTAAAATACAACCAGTACCATCATTCCTTATCAGACTAATAAACCATGTTTTTTAAGGTAATGAACTAAATGGCTATGTTTAGATTTTTTTTCAGGGTTTACTTTGGATTCTCCTGCTTTAAGACCCCAAGAAAGTCATATTGAGTTTTTACTGATGATTCTAGATATATGTATTTATAAGAGTATATTAAAAGAATTCTACAGCATCAGTTCAGAAAAGATTATATACTATGTATCTTCACTCATATTGCATTGCTATAAAGGAATACATGAGACTGGTAACTTATAAGGAAAATAGGTTAATTTGGTCGTACAAGAAGCTTGGTGCCAGCAACTGCTTCTGGTGAGCCCTGCTTCAGGGAGCCCTCACCCGAAGCAGACGGAAGGCGGAAGGGGAAGGGGAGCAGGCATGTCACATGGCAAGAGAAGGAGCAAGAGAGAGCCCACGCTCTTTTAAACAACTAGCTCTGACTTGAACTAACAGAGTGAGAACTCACTCATTCCCACACTGAGGGCACCAAGCCATTCATGAGGGGTCGACCCCCATGACCCAAACACCTCCCACCAGACCCCACCTCCAACACAGGTGATTGAATTTCAACATGAGATTTGGAGGGAACAAATATCCAAACTATGTTACTATACAAACTATTCAAGTCATACAAAACCATTTTCCAGTGTCTTTTCAACTGAGAAGAATCTATTCAGCACACTTCTCCTCCTGAGGTGGTTCATACTGAACAAGTTTTGCTTTCAGATTTTTATTTTCTTCTATAGTATCTTCATATTTTCCCTTCATTTCTGCCAATTCTTAGGCAGAGCAGCTCTATTTCTGGATTTCCTGGGGTAGCAGCTCCTAAGTGATGCTTTAAAGAAATCTAAAGTACTGTTTCCCCTACAAGTCAAGGATCTTGTTGTTAAAAACAATGAAATAGCTCATGCTATTTTTATCCTGCATCTTCAAATTGACACCCCCACCACCAAGACATTAAGATCTCTCTATCCCCAATGTCTTAGTCCATTTGTGTTGCTGTGAAGGAATACCTGAGGCTGGGTAATTTATACGGAAAAAGGGTTTATTTGGCTCATGATTCTGAGGGCTGGAAAGTTCCAGGTTGGGCATGTGCATCTGGTGAGAGCCTTAGGCAGAAGGTGAGGGGAGTCTGTGTGTACAGAGGTCACAGGGAGAGAGAGTGGGAAGGCACCAGCCTCTTTCTAATAACCAGTTCTCCTGTGGAAACTAGTAGAGTGAAAACTCACTGCTGAGGGAGGGAGAGCATTCATCTATTCCTGACTGATCTGCCCCCACGACCCACACACCTTCCATTAGGCCCCACCTCCAACACTGGGGACCAAATTTCAACATGAGGTTGGGAGGGGACAAACACACAAACCATAGCACCCAGTGTTCCAAAATTTCACAGTGATAGCATAATGTGGGACTTTATTTGTCATTGTGTTGGGCACTCAGTAGCCTCTCAATCTGGAATCTCAGTCAATATCTGTGGACTCTGAGAAATTATTACCTTTTTTGATAATTTTAATACCTGATTTTCTCTGTTATCTCATTCTGGAATTCCTCTGCCTTGATCTTCTAATTCTTTTCTTTCCTCTGTTTTCCATTTTTCACCCCTTTTAATTCTGGGAGATTTCTCCAGCTTTTTCTACTGAAATTTTATTTCTGCTATAATAAATTTCTGAGAGCTTCCTCTTGTCTTCTGAATTCTCTCTTGCTGTCTCTGTTTTTCCAATTTCCTACTCCCATCATCTTTTTTTTTGGGCAGACATAGTGTTTGGAATGCAATGTCTTCTCCAATCTTGGAGAATATGAATTTCTTTCAATATTTTTCTTCAGTTTCCTGCACTGTTTCTGTTTTTATTAGTTTGTTTATTTTGGTTTTGCCTCTCATGTTGGAGGCTTTCTTCAACATCTGGTGAATTTTGGCTATGTGTTCATATTTACTACTAGACAATTTACCATGAAACATTGATTGAGCTCTGTGCACAAGGGCAGGCTCATTGAATGGTAGACCATACTATGGGGTTATGAGTGGCGTATCAGCAGGAGTCCCACAAGAAACTGATGCCATACTCTGTCAGAGAAGCTGAGAAAAATTTAATAAATGTGGGCAAGGAAGACAGCAATAAAGAATAAGTAAGCAATAGAAGGAAGGAAAAAAAGGGCAAGAGAGCTGACCAGAACCTGGGGAGAGCAGTGATGTGACAAGGGTCACCTCTCCTGCCTTTGGATCTCCTGCTGCACCCAACCTGAGTGCGAGAGAGCCCATGGATGGACTCCATAAAGGTCAGGCTCCCAGGGCACTGAGCAGGATGGAGAAAGTGAATGTGGATCTGGAAGCATAAAAATGTATCCAGCACAGGTATCTGGCCAATTTGACAGAGGAACACAAATGTCAGTAACCCAGCACAGCACCTGGCCTGTATCACAGGGCATGCCACTAATATTTGCAGAGTAAATAAATCAGGCGGCCGGGCGCGGTGGCTCACGCCTGTAATCCTACCACTCTGGGAGGCCGAGGCGGGCGGATTGCTCCAGGTTGGGAGTTCAAAACCAGCCTGAGCGAGACCCCGTGTCGACCAAAAATAGAAAGAAATTAATTGACCAACTAAAAAAAAAAATATATATATATATACAAAAAATTAGCCGGGCATGGTGGTGCATGCCTGTAGTCCCAGCTACTTGGGAGGCTGAGGCAGGAGGATCGCTTGAGCCCAGGAGTTTGAGGTTGCTGTGAGCTAGGCTGACGCCACGGCACTCACTCTAGCCAGGGCAACAAAAGTGAGACTCTGTCTCAAAAAAATAAATAAATAAATAAATCAGGTAAGTAATGATTATATCATAATTGGCCTTGAATGCCATAAAAAACTTCTGAAAGTTTTCAAACTTTAAAAAAATTATAGCAGTGACTCAGGCCTGTAATCCTAGCACTCTGGGAGGCTGAGGCGGGTGAATTGCTCAAGGTCAGGAGTTCGAAACCAGCCTGAGCAAGAGTGAGACCCCCCTCTCTACTATAAATAGAAAGAAATTAATTGGCCAACTAATATATATAGAAAAATTAGCAGCATGGTGGCACATGCTGTAGTCCAGCTTCGGGAGCGAGCAGGAGGAGCTTGAGCCCAGGAGTTTGAGGTTGCTGTGAGCTAGGCTGACGCCACACACTCACTGTAGCTGAGCAACAAAGAGGACTCTGTCTCAAAAAAAAAACAAAAAAACCCAAAAAACAACAATTTACTATTATATAGTTACATATTATATAGAGAGGGAGAGGAGAGAGAGAGAGAGAGAGACTAGAAACCTCCTTTGAAAATAAATTGTATGAATAACCCCACTATAAAATCTATAACCAGATAAAAGTAGAATTGCTCTTGTTGAATCTGAGCTGGCACCCCTAATTCTGTCACCCTGCTCACTTGGGCATCTTGTTGCCTCAAGCCTCTCCCACTCCTCTTTTCCCATGTCTTCTGCAAAGTAACTCTGAAGAAGCTGCAAGGAACATGGTTTGAAAGCCATGGGATAGCTAAAGTACCCTGCGGCACCCCCTGAGGTAGGAACTGCAGCAGCTCTGCTCTGAGTAATGGGACTTCCTGACCAACTTCTTTTAGTGAACATTTTTCCTGATTCTTCCTGTGTTTCTTCTTCCCTTGACCCTGCAGGTGCTCAAGGTGGCTCTGTGGCCAGGGCCATTTTGGAGAACAAAAAGTTCGCAGTGAGAGCGCTGACCAGGGATGTGACGGGACCAAAAGCACTGGCACTCCGGGACCTTGGTGCCGAGGTGGTAAAAGGGGACCTGAATGATGAAACATCTGTGGAGGCCGCCTTAAAAGGTGTCTATGGGGCTTTCCTGGTTACCAACTTCTGGGACGATCTCAGCATAAAGAAGGAAGTGTGTCAGGTAGAAACCAGATTATTTCTTCTTTCTCCTCTGAGCCCTTTCCTCTTACCCTTTCTACCTACTTCTGTCCTCTCTGGAGGGGTGCAGGCCTTCAGTCTGGGCAAAAATATAAGTCTCCCTCCACAGCATCCCTCTGGCTTTTATGAAAAATATATACTTTAGGTACTTGTTAAGGTGTCTTTGATTGTGAAATTAATGTTATGTGGCATTTGTCCATATCTCAAGACCTTGAAATTCAAGAGTGACTGTTTAATGAAGCCAGTCATTACAGTCTCCACTTCTCACCATTTGTTTGTAGATGGCATAGAGGAGTGGCAGCAAGGATACCCCATACATTGAGGCTACTCTGAGAGAGAAATGGGGACAATTAAAAATGTAGTGAGTTTATTTATACTTCGGACAGAGACTTTTGGGATGAATAAGTAATGAGTACATTGAAAAACAAGTAAATAAGTCCACAATGAATTATTAATTCCAGGGAAAATGAAAGTTTGTAGAAAAAATGAATGTAACCATAGAGTCTCACGTGGCACAGCTTCACCTGTATGTAAGCACTGAATGTTGCTGTAGCCAAAACTATAATACTGGGGCTCGTATGGTGGCTCATGCCTGTAATCCTAGCACTTTGGGAGGCAGGAGGATCTCTTGAGGCCAGGAGTTTGAGAGCATCCTGAGCAACATAGTGAGATCCCATCTCTACAAACAATAAAAAATTACCCAGGTATAGTGTGCCCCTGTGGACCCAGCTACTCGGGAGGCTGAGGCAGGAAGACTACTTGAGCCCAGGAGTTTCAGGTTCCAGTGAGCTATGATGATACCAATGCACTCTAGCCCAGGCAACAGAGGGACACACTGTCTCAAAAAAATAAAAACAAAACAAAATGAAAAAACCTATAATGTTGAAGGAATAAAAAAAAGGAATTATGTATATGTAATATGGTGGTGGTGGTGGTGGACTCTGTGTGTGTGTGTGTGTGTGTGTGTGAGAGAGAGAGAGAGAGAGAGAGAGAGAGAGAATGAGATAATTAAATCCTCATCTTTTATTTAGTAGGAATTTAGTATTTCAAATTGAAAAAAATTAAGGATTTGTAGTATAAACATGTTTTAAATAAACAGCTAAATTAGATTAAAGGGCAGTAATCAGTATGGGTGTGTAGGGAACTTCTTTTTCATTGTAAGATCTACTTTTCCCTTTGACAGTACTATTTGACAATTGAAACTATGTATATGTACAAATTTGGGGAAAAAATGAAGATTAGATTTTTAAAATGTAATGGATGAGAACAGCCACTTGCAGAAATTGCACAATTCAAAAAATTAAGAGCAGGATCGAGCTGTTTCAGGAATGTCTATTAAATTAATTATGCCCATTTACAGCCTGTTTTTTTAGTGATAAACTCTGAAAGGGCTTATTTTAGGAGCTCTGAATTCTAACATTCATTCACTATGGATACAAGTCACCTCTCTGCCTCACTAACTGCATCTGCTAAACCAGATTAATTATGTCTTCTCTGCCTATTGCTTGAAGTTTTGTAAAGAAAAGTAAGAAACAGTGAAGAGAAAGAAAGGAAAAAAGAGAGAGAGAGAGAGATTAAGATGCTTTGGAAAATTTGTAACTAAAAACACAAAAGAGAGAAAATATGTATTTGTGTGTTTGCATGTGTGTATATCTGTCCATTATACCCTCAATATCCAAATGGTGTACAGATGTAGTCCATTACCAGAAAAAAAAAAGATATATAAGTGTGATCGTAGGTGATTGCAAAAATACTGAAAGCCCAGAGGAAGGGGCCAACTGTTCAGTGACGGTTCCCACCCAATTGCCCCTTAGCTTCAGATGGGTTCCTGGGATTCCTTTCTTCTCTGCTCCCCTCCGCAATTTCCTATTCTGCTACTCCCTGCAAGCCCAGTATTCCGGGTCTCCCAGCAGAGGGCTCGGCGTTTTGGGGAGGAGCCTCTGCTCACTGTGGCTGGTTGGCCTCTCGGTACTTGGGGATGAGGGCACTAAGAAAAGGAGCGGGTGGAGGGGACCCAGCACCCGCCCTCGAGCGCACGCGCAGACACAGCGCTCTGCATAAAGGATCTCCTTTGTCGCCCAGGGGAAGATGGTGGCGCAGGTGGCCAAGCGCCTGGGCCTGAAGCACGTGGTGTACAGCGGCCTGGAGAACGTGAAGCGGCTGACGGGCGGCAAGCTGGAGGTGCCGCACTTCGACGGCAAGGGCGAGGTGGAGGAGTACTTCTGGGCCACGGGCGTTCCCATGACCAGCGTCCGCGTGGCAGCCTACTTCGAAAACTTCCTCACGGCGTGGAAGCCCGCGAAGGCCCCCGATGGCGATTACTACACCTTGGGTAAATGGAAGGTTGCAGCGGGAGTTAACTTAGCACCAGGCTGCCCTCCCCCTCGCGCCTGTCCCCTCTTCAGGGGACACTTATCATTTGCGAGCCTGCTATGTGTTTAGCTCTGTGTGGAGTGCCGGGAGGGGTGCCAGATTGTCCTAGAGACCTCCTCCAGGCAGGCACTCTTCCAGGGCAGAGAACTGGCCTGGGACAGGAAGCACAAAGGGTCATATTTCCAGTCTTAACATTCTGACCCTCCTTTTGTCACACTGCAGTTACTGTGTGACCTGCAGCCTCTGCTCCTTATGTCTAAGGGGAAAGCTGGGCAAGACGACTTCTAAGGACCCTCCTAGCTCATCCATCTGACCTTCCGTGCCAACAGGGGAGGAGGACAGGCTTCTCCTCCTGACTTGGGTCTGGTGGTCAGAGTTAGAGCCTGGAGAGACCGTGACCCCCTCCAGGGGACAGGTTCCCAGGGCCCACCTGCACAGAGTCTGAATCTGTAGGTCTCGGTTGGGGCCTGGGAGAATAGTTTTGACAGGGACTCCTGGTAATCCCAAGGCTGCTAGTGCTCTGGCCGGCATTCCTCTGGCCTTTGGGGACACTTTCTTTGGCCGTAGTCAGAGATGGCCTCTGTGGAATAGAGGAATGTGGGAATATCCATGGCAGCAATTCAGTCTTTCTTCCTTGGCACTTAATTAAGGCTCTTCGGAAGTCAGGCGTGGTGGTGCACCTGTAGTCTCAGCTACTCTGGAGGCTAAAATGGGAGGATTGCTTGTGTCCAGGAGTGTGAGCCTGTCATGCACTGATTGCGCCTGTGAATAACCACTGCTCTCCAGCTTGTACAACATAGTGAGACCCCCGTCTCCTAAAAAAAGAAAGAAAAAAAGGACTCATCAGGGGCATAAGCAGTCACAGTCAAAGTAGACCTGAACTAGAGCCAGGATCTCCTGCCATACATCACAGATGACTCAGGTGACAGTTCAACAAATGACTAGGAAAATGCATAAATGCGACATGTCTCTTCACTCCGTTTTCTTCCTATCCCCCTACGGTAAGCTGGTTTCAGAAACCAGCTTACCTGACATTTCCCAAGTCCTGAACTAGAAGACTGTAATCTATGGATTAGACCAGCCCTAGGTAAAGAGGAGATACCTTAAATTTCTCCTACTACCTAGTCCCATCTGGAGGCCCCAGATCTGAAAAACTCAGCCTCAGGTTTCCCTGAGCCTCATTCTTTACTATAGGAATAGTTAACATTTACTAAGCAACTGAGGTGCCAGCACTGCGCTAATTACTGCTGTTTTACAGATGAGGAAACTGAGGCACAGAGAAACTTTCTCAAGATCACCAATAAGGCAGCACCAGGATTGAACCCAGGCAGTCTGGCTCTAGATCCCATATTCTTTACCACTGTCTCTTAGTTATTTGTAAACTCAGCCCAAGACCCTCAATTCTCAAATAAAAATAGACCTCAGAGTCACAGCAGACTTGACTTTGAGTGCTTCCAAAAGCTAAAACTGCTTTACAAATATAAAATACAATTATAATTTAATCTACAGAATGAGCAGACATTTTGCTTACCAAGAAATTCAGGCAGGAAGATGATTTTGCTGCATAAGATGAAATAGGGTATTTAGTCCCTGGCGGCTAAGCCTGAGGTCACTTTTACATTGGATTGAAATTCAGAGACCTTGATTCTTGGCCTGGCCTGATGCTTTCTAGCTGCCAGGCCCTGGGCGAGCCTCTAGACTTAGTTTCTTCATTTAAAAAACAAGAGCACTGGGGCTAGATTGTTTCCACATTGGATTCTAGACCCACCAATCTGGAAATCTATGAGAGGCCATATCACACTGTAGGAAGGACATGGGCTTTGGAGTGAAGGATGTGGGTTTGAATCTACTTCTGATGCTCGTTGGCTAATAACTTAGTACTTGGTAATTCCTGATGATTCCTCTATTTCAAGGATTAAACTAGGATTAAACTATTGTTTCAAGGATTAAACTAGCCAATATGTTCGTTCATTCATTCATTCAATAAATATCTGAGGGTCTCTATATGTCAGTCACTAGGGAGTCAGTAATGAACAAAACAGACAAAGCTCTGCCCTCATGAAGCTCATATTCTGCTGGAGGAGTAAACAGTAAGCACAATAGATAAGTAAATACATTGTATGTTAGAAGGTGGCAAGTGCTACAGGTAGACATAGAGTATTAGCAGTAACAATTTAAACGAGATGATTAAGTAGGTCTCTTTGAGTACCTTTTTTTTATCCTTAAGAGAAGGGGTCTCACTATGTTGCTCAGGCTGGACTGGAATTCCTGGGCTCAAGGGGTCCTCCCATCTCAGCCTCCTGATTAGCTGGGACTACAGGTGTGTACCATGGTACTGGGCTCTCTTTGAGCACCTTCTGATGAAGGTAGATAGAGAGCTTTGTGGGTATGCAGGGGAAGACGTGACATGAGCTGACTTTAGTTTTTACAAGATCACTTTGATTTTGGTGTTGAAAAGAGAGTATGGAAGAACAAGGGTGGAAACAAGGAGACCGATTCTGTAATAATCTAGGTTACAGATTATGGTGGCTTGGACCAGGGTGATAGCAGTAAAGATGGTAAGAAGTGGTCAGATTTGAACATACTGTGAATAGGATTTCCAAAAATATAGGATATAGCATGTGAGAGAAGTGTCAAGGCTGACTCTAAGATTTGTGACCTGAGAAATTGGAATGACAGAGTTGCCATTAAATGAGATGGAGAAAATTGGTGGGGGGAGGCAGGTTGTAGAGGGGCATAAGAGTTCATTTCTGGGTCTGTTGAGTTAAAAATGTCTATTAAATAGCTAAGTAAGGATGCTGAGTAGGAAGTGGGACATATGAGTCTGGAATTCAGCAGAGTATCTTGGCTGGAGATATATTTATCCATACTTTGCACACTGCAGATATTTAGTAAATGGTTGCCCTTTTTAATCAGTATGCAGGTGCTGTGGTATTGTCTCAAACAAAACCTTCTATCTGTGCATAGATTGTGGCCACTTGGTTTTACATTGCCTTCCCACACCTTTTGTTTAAGGGGTTGATTACTTTAGATTGGTGGGACCTACTGAGGATGCGATATAATTAGCTATTTTTATCTTGTTTTCTTTTTAAACTAGTCCTGCCCATGGGGGATGTGCCTATGGATGGTATCTCTGTTGCTGATATCGGAGCAGTTGTCTCTAGCATTTTTAATTCTCCAGAGGAGTTTATAGGCAAGGCCGTGGGCCTCAGTGCAGAAAAACTAACAATACAGCAATACGCCGATGTTTTGTCCAAGTGTTTGGGGAAAGACATCCGAGATGCAAAGGTGAGTTCTTATGAGACATTAGTGTGATCACAAAAGGCCACCTTGGTTAACATTCCACTAACTTATTAATTCTGATACGGATTTAGGTAGGATTGAGTTTAGACTGTCAGAAGAAATTGAAAAGGACTCCAGTTCCACAAATCTATCTTCATTGCTTGATGCAGCTGAATCCCTCCCAAATGGCTTGATTTCTTTGGCTTAGGGTTAATCAGCTTGTTAAAGTAAGATAACTTTTGGGTGAAAAGAACTTACAATCCTAAGACCGAGATACAGTTTTTTCACATGCGCTATCCCAGCCCCCTCATAAGCCCCCACTGCTGACCACTGCAGTCTGCCAGAGCTAGCTGGTGTGGGGCAAGGCACTAGCCAAGAGCCTCAGCTTCCTCAGTTGTAAAGTGGGGGATGATAGTATCTATTTCAAGGTGTTCTTGTGAAAATTACAGAAAATATGTGTAACAGGCCTGCCATAGTATTTGACACATAGTAGAGATGTATTGAGTATATTTATGAACCCAGCGCTACTTTAAGGAGTTTGCAGCGGAGTTGGAGTGAAAATGTTGATGCACATGAAGTCACTGTGATTATTACAAGACATAACCCTCTAGGGGTTAATTGTGTTGTCCAGATTGTGTGTGTTATAGGTGACCAGAGAAGGCTTCGTGGAAGAGGTGGCCTTGATTGGTCACTGAGGGAGGACAAAACCGCATACAGGGGGAGGGGAGCAATAGAGCTGGCCTGGCTCAATGCTGTAGGAAACGTGAATGAACTAGAGGCAGTATGGGGAAGTAGGCCAATCCTGTCTCTGCCCTTATCTATGTAGGGAATCTTGGCAATTTACTTAACTTCTCTCAGCCTCGATTTCTTTATATGTTCAAAAAAGTTATTGTACTTCCCTTGTAAGATTATTGTGAGGATGAAATGAGATACTCATTTGGAAATGATACTCATTGCCAATGCTTGGCAATGGGTCTGGCACTTAGTAAGCCCTCAATAACTGATCATGCTATAATTCATGCAGGAATGGTCTTGACTAGAGTGTGGCTAGGACAGACTTCTTGCAGAAAAGTGAGTCTAACTTCTTACAGAAAAGTGAATACCACCCTGGTTTTGTAAGATTTTGGAAGCTAAGCAGGGTTGGGCTTGGTTAGTACTTGGATGGGAGAAAAGTGAGAATTGCTGATATTGGGCATTACCAGCCATTTTCCCAATCAGGTGTTCATAAGAGGAAGGAAAAAGAGGCCAGGCACAGTGGCTCATGCCTGTAATCCCAGCACTTTGGGAGGCTGAGGCAGGAAGATTGCTTAAGGTCAGGAGTTTATGAGCAGCCCGGGAAACATAACAAGACTCCATCTCTACAAAAAAGAAAAAGCAATTAGCTGAGTGTGGTGGCACATGCCTGTAGTCACAGCTACTCAGGAGGCTGAGGCAGGAATATTGCTTGGGCCTGGAAGTCTGAGGTTGTGCTATTGCACTCCAGCCTGGCCAACAGAGTGAGACCCTGTCTCTATTAAAACAAAAAGAGGAAAGAAAAAGAGAACAGGCTGTTTTCAGGATACAATGATTACTTGAGTAGATGCAACAGAGACCTTATGGCCTACAAAGCTTGAAGTACTTATACCTAGCCCTTTAAAAACATTTTTGACCCCTGTTCTAGAATGTTTCCTAGAATCAGTGATAGAAGGTTGGCTCCTGTTTGCATTAGCAGCTCTTGGTCCTGTGAGTCTTGAGGAGATATCTAGTTTCCCAATTCAGCTTCAGCTACTGGAGTTGTGAGGAGGTGAAGAGGTCTTCTTTTCTGGTAAACTGCTGTAGGTGTCAGTCTAGCCACCTTCGAAGTCCCCCATACCTGGGTGCGGATTTACTACTCCGTGACCCTTTCTCAGGGCATTTGCATTTGGGTCGTATATTGATTTTGTCCTGTGGGGTTTGAACTCTGCAAGGAAGGAAAGAAAGAAGAAGGAGTGTGAGTGTATGGGATGTGTGTGTGTGTGTGTGTGTGTGTGTGTGTGTGTGTCTTTATTTTCAGAAGACAGGTTAAACATTGTTCTGGATGACTGAGAAACTCACAGGAATCTCTCAGTCATGTATCTGGTCCCTGAATGTTATTTCATAATGTGGCTGAAGCTTCTCTGGCACCAAAAGGCTTTGAGACTGAAAGTTTTACAGAGTGGTTAATGCTGTTCTTACTAACTAGGCTGACTTGAAGCACTGTGCAAATTCTGGGGAGGGAATGCATATGGCCACAAGGTGGCGCCCCAGCCCTGGAAGTCTGACTTCCACCTGCCTCAAGTGGTGTGAAACTGTCAGTCAGTCTGGCTGGGGAGCTGTCTAGCCTGAAAAAGAAGATAGTTCTTCCAGAAAGTGAGACACAACAGAACTAGTGTCTTATTTTCAAAAATCTGCAGTAAAAGAACCCCATATTTTACTGAAGACATATTAGGTATCAAAGTCACAGAATGCAAGAGTGACTCAAGGAGACAGACATACTGGAAGTCATCTTTTATGCTTTTCACACAGACACTTCTATTTCCAAAGTCACTTAAAGTCTAAATTTCTTTCTGATTTAAAAAATGACAAATTATTATTATAGAAAACTCTGAAAATTATGACAAAGAAAATAAAAATCACACATAGGTCAATCTCTCAGAGATAGCTACTGTTAAGATTTGGCAGATTTTCTTTCCTTTTTCTTGTATATATAAAAATATAGGCCAGGCATGGTGGCTTCCAACTGTTATCTTAGCACTTTGGGAGGCTGAGGCAGGAGGATCGCTTGAGCTCAGGTATTTGAGACCAGCCTGAATGAGAGTGAAACCCCATTTCTACAAAAAATAGGAAAATTAGCCAGGCATCCTGGCACACACCTATAGTCCCAGGCACTTGGGTGGCTGAGGCAGGAGAATCACTTGAGCCTAGGAGTTTGAGGCTACAGTGAGCTGTGATGACGCCTCTGCACTTTAGCCCAGGCAACAGAGCAAGACCCTGTCTCCAACATATATATATATGTGTGTGTGTGTGTGTGTGTGTGTGTGTGTGTGTATTTATACAAAATAACAGTAAGCATACCATTTTGTATCTGTCCTTTTCACTTAACATTATGAGTATTTTATTTTGTTAAATGTGTTAAAAAACATTAATTTTAATAATTGCATCATATTCTTAGAGTAGCACCACAGTTTATTTTACCATACCTGTATTGTTGGACATGTAGGTTGTTATTGATTTTTTTCATTATTATCAATGGCATGTGACAATCATTGTTTTCTTTTTTTTTTTTTTGAGAGAGTTTCACTATATTGCCTAGGCTAGAGTGCCATGGCTTATAGCAACCTCAAAGTCCTGGGCTCGAGCTATCCTTCTGCCTCAGCCTCCAGAGTAGCTGGGACTACAGGCATGCGCCATCATGCCCGGCTAATTTATATATATATATTTTTAGTTGTCCAGATAATTTCTTTCTATTTTTACTAGATATGGGGTCTCGCTCTTGCTCAGGCTGGTCTCGAACTCCTGACCTTAAGCGATCTTCCCGCCTCAGCCTCCCAGAGTGCTAGGATTACAGGCGTGAGCCACCGTGCCTGGGCAGACAATTATTGTTTTCCATAAGTTGTTTGTGTCTTTTAAGGCCAAGTGGAATTGAGAGGTCAGAGTGATCTCTGAGGGCTAAGGACAGACTATAGTGGACAAGATAGTTAGAAATGGTCTTTGCTAATTCGGTAGAGGGATTATCGATCTAGCTAATGTTAGCAAGGGTTTAAGGAGTGGATTTTAAGGCAGCTCAGGAGGTATGGGTTGGGCTCCATTTCCGTTGGGGCCTCACCCTGGCAGAGACTGGGATGATCAAAGGTAAAATGTAAATCTGTAACCAAGAAGGGGAGTGAGGATAGATGGGACATGAGCCAGGTGAGAAAGAGAGCCTAGTGCCAGATGAGGGGACCTTGACACGGCATGGAGGGCCAAGGGGGTGGACTGTTTCAGAGGGCCGCTGGGGGAATCCCACGAGGAAATGTAGATGAAAGCGCTATGCAGAGGTATTCGAATGAAGGGAGTACAGATCTACTATCCCTTATCCAAAAGGCTCGGGGCTGGAAAAAATTCAGCTTTCAGAATCTTTCAGATTTTAGATAGATTATTGTCTACATATATTATGTAACATCACCAGTAGGGGCTGGGGCAGGAACCTGTAAGCAAACACATCCGTAGCTCTGCAGAAAAATATTTGAATATTCCCACTAAATGGAATAATTAAAGACCATAAATAGCTTCATATAGTTCCGGTCAGGTTTTGCCACCAAAGTAGTTCAAAAAGTCAGTGTGCTGTCAAATGGCTTATGGAAAAAAAACTTTGGAGTTTCTTGGATTTGGGATTTAGGCTAAACAATTGTGGACCTGTATCATCATTAAGGTGAATGGTATCCTTTCAAACTATTTTAAATGTGGGCTCTAACGTTTCCTGCCTTTTTATTTGTTCTTAAAAGATCACACCGGAAGCTTACAAGAAGCTGGGATTCCCCGTGGCAGAAGAAGTAGCCAATATGTGTCTTTTCTATCAAACGAAGCCAGATCGTGATGTCAAGCTCACCCACCGACTAAACCCCAAAGTCAAAAGCTTCAGCCAATTTATATCAGAGAACAAGGAAGCCTTTAAGGACATGTAGAAAATCAGCAGTGCAGACAGGCCCTGACCACACAGCCTTTCTTCGCTGATCTCATTCCTCTTTGCAACACAACATTCACAGTTACAGTTACATTTACAGTTACAGAACATACTAGAATGCAATTATTTGCAACACAAAAGGATTTTCTGCAGTCCTCTCTTCAGTAGTAACACTGCCTTGGTGATTTGACACAGTGATTTGATTCACATTTAACTTTCTGGCTAGTGATAAGGGTAGTGCACCTGTTCGGTTAAATGAGAAGTCCCAAACTCCTATCACCATTTGTAGCTCTCTCTCTCTCCTCAAGATTCAACTTCCCTCAAAAAACTCTGGCCTGAGGAACTTGGAGCTTCTCTCCTAACATGAATGGGAGGCCACTCAGCTTTCTCCTGGGTGAGTGATCTCAAGCCCTGGCTCTGAAATTCCCCATGGCAGCTCCAGTTTTCTCAAGGGCATTGCAAAACTCAGTGAACTTTTAAGTCATTGGAATTTTAAAAATGAATATCTTTGTAGAGAACTTTCTGGAGAACATGGTATTCAATGAACAAGCACAAGCCCTAGAAACTCTAAAATTCGGTTTTGCTTCAAGGTTGGAAGTTCATTCTCTGATTCATTCATTAAATCATCTATTGAATCAATTATTTATTTATTCATTTGTCTATTCTTCATTTACCCACTGTGCAGACATTTTTCTGTAGCACCAGCACTGCTGGTGCATTTGTGGACTTTGCTCCCTTCCTGTATGCTTTCTTACTGGAATGATCCACTCTCCAAAGGCCACTGTGGTTCCTTTTCAGTTTGTGACTGGGTTTGTGTCACGCCAGGGCAAGAGGGGCCATCCACCCATTTATCTCCAAGTGAAACCCAGAGGATCTGCAGTGAGCGAAGGCCAGGAAACTGGAGGCAAGGCCTGGTGGGGAAGTGGAAAGAGGAGGTGACAGAGGGCCCCACACAACCTTTGCATATCTCTGGCTTAGCATTTTCTATACCATCTTGCAATAATCTTATTTACTGTTAATAGTTTTCTTCCTGGCTGTGAGTGACTTAACACTCCTCTTTATCCTGGTGCCTGGTATATAATAGATGATCAATAAATGCTGATTGACTAAATGAGTGCATAATGTTAATCGATGCTATCATTACAAGAAAACAGAAAAACAGGTGAATAGGTTGAAGGGGGAGTGGAGATAAGAACTAGCAACAGATACTTTTAGAGTGAGAGATTGTCCACCTCTGGGGTGGGGGGAACCCCACTACCCAACATATGGTGCTGGGAACAACAGAGCGAGGACAGGGATGGTGTGCGTGTGAGAGGAGACAGCAGCCGGGGATCTGACTCGGGAAGGACAATTGGGGCTGCCAAATGTCAACCTTTCTTTCGTTTTTTTATCTTTAAGGCTTCAAAGGGTAAATGTTTGTTGGATAAATGATGTCGCAGATAAGTATCAATTCTTGGGGAAAATCACAATCAAAGTGCATTTGAGGACCACTTTCCTTTTCAAAGCACAATGCCCTCTAGCAATAATTGCTTTGCAACTTAAACACTCAGCCCTGGCCAGGGGAGGTGGCTCATGCTTGTAATCCTACCACTCTGGGAGGCGTAGGTGGGAGGATCACTCAAGGTCAGGAGTTCGAAACCAGCCTGAGCAAGAGCAAGACCCCGTCTCTATTGAAAATAGAAAGAAATCAATTGGCCAACTAAAATATATATATATAAAAAATTAGCCAGGCATGCTGGTGCACGCCTGTAGTCCCAGCTACCTGGGAGGCTGAAGCAGAAGGATTGCTTGAGCCCAGGAGTCTGAGGTTGCTGTGAGCTAGGCTGACACCATGGCACTCTAGCCCGGGCAACAAAGTGAGACTCTGTCTCTATAAAATAAATAAATAAATAAATAAATACTCAGCCTTGGGAAATGGGCCTGGATAAATTTCTAAAAAGGGAAAAGGAAAACAAACCCTAAACTAAAAATAGATGGCATATTACTCATCTGAGTGGACCACGCAGGAAGAATGGATGCTGTTCCCTAAATGAACCACGGGGTCCCTCAAATTGCGAGCATCTATAGGCCCAAGCGTTCCCTGGCCCCATTGTGTGTTCACTGGGAGGGTAGATTGGTTCTTTCAGTCTGGAACAAGCTGCGTAGCCATGGGCCAGCCCTAGCCATTGTTTCTGAAAAGTGTGAGAAGTCCTTTCAGGATTTAGAACCAAACTTTACAAGTGGCCAAACTGAAATGAGACCATGCACTTTAGGGACCTTGATCTCACATAACCAAGAAGGTAAAAGAACTTCAAAAGTTTGTGTCTTAGACATTTTAATATTTGTTGAAAGTGGACACGAGATTCCACTACCACCCTCTCCCTCTCCTGCCCAATAGTCTCCAGGCTAAGGGATAGACAAGATTACCTTTGGAGTTGTTCAGAGTAGAGACTTAGGGACTCAGAAGAGACTCAGAAGTAGCAATGGGGCTGTGCATCTCTGTGAACAAAACTGTCCATGAATGAGTTGGGGTGTTGGAGATGGTTGAGGGAACAGAAGGAGATTTCTCTCTGCGATTCTAGAAATGTCCCTAGAAACTCAAGCTGTGAAGTCAGATAATTCTAGATTTGATCGCCTATGCCACTGACTATAGTTATATGAACCTGTTGCTTGGCTTGCCAAGCCAAGTTGCTTGGCTTCTGGGCTTTAGTTTCCTGATCCGTACAAGGGGCTACAGGGAGCACTAAAAGGTGGAAAGTATGAGAAGCACTTTGTGTAGTCTTTGGTAGACAGTAAGATAGGAAATGCTCATGAAACAACTGTAATTATTCTTGAGCATAATTCCTACCCTTGCCTCCTTCATATGGCTCCCCAAATTCTGAGGTGCCCACCAGGCTGCTCCACGTGTCCCCTCACCTGCCCACTCAGTCTTGACCTCCTGGACTGCAGGCTCCTCATGCTCTGACTGCCACTGCCACCAGGTGTCACCTCCCCGTCCCACCTCCCTTCTCCCCCCACTAGATGGCAGCCGAGTCTAGCATGAGAAAGAGTCGCTCCAACCTCATCCCAGGTAGATTTTTCCAGGGGCTTTTGAGGGACAAAGCCAAAAGAGATAGTTATACTGTGCATATAATAGCCTATGTGTCATCGGTCACCCTTCATGGTCATTTCAACAGACATGTACTGGGCACTTTCTCTGGGCCTGGCACTGGGATGAAGTGGCTTCTCTGTGCTCAATTTGGGATTAAGGGAAGGAAAAGAAGAACCAGCGCATTATCCAGTGGCTCCAGCCCCAGCTCAACCCACAGCAAAGGGAGGCCCTTCAGGCCAAAGGCGAGCCTGCTGCCACGGCCTGCTCTCCACCCGGTAGCTGGGCAGAGCCTTGCTCCTTGCTGGCTCCTGCATCTGGCTTCTCCATCTGCCATGCTGCCTGTCATCCTCTCTCCCACCCAAGGGACCCTCGCAACTCTGAGATCCCACCAAGACTACACTAGAGGCAGAGACAGTTCACCAAAAGGAAACTTGGGCACTATTAAAAAAAAATAGAAATGCACACCTGGTAGCCTTCAAACATTGTTTGCTCTCCAAAGTAATGGAGTAGAACACGCTGGCAATACTGTCATGTCTCAGACTCCTTGCAGAAACGAACAGGAAAGCAATAATATGAATTTTAAAACATAAAGTATAAGTTGCTACACCATTTTTGACTCAACTGAATGTTGCAAGAGGATTAAAAAATTGTGTACACCTTTACTTGGTAACATTTCTTCTAAGAAACTGTTTTAAATAAATAAACACAAATATAGATAAAAATAAAAATTTGAGGATTTTATATGGAAGTGCTCTTGAGAACAAAAAAATGGAAGTAAGAAAATGTTCAGTCTGCATTTAAGGAATAGATAATTCAATTATTGAAGTTTTAAAATTCCTTTAAATTTTAAATTCTTTAGAACTAGCCTTTGTGAAGAATTTTTACTGAAAAAACTTATGTTTCGAGTGAAAAATACTGGACATAAAATAGCATTGTATCTAGCCTAATCCTAATTGATAAACTATACATGTACATAATAAAATATTGGGAGGAAAAATGCCAAAACATTAATAAGGGTTTTCACTGAAGTGAAATTTTGGTTGATTTCTATTTTTCTTTGTTTAAGTTTCCCCTTTTTCCCAGTTTTCCATAATAAAAATATATTACTTTAATGTTGACCTTTTATGTAAACAGTTATTTTTAAAATTTAACAAATATACATTGTCCTAATTCTTCCTTATGAAACATAAAAATTGTTATTTAGGAGTGTTTGCTATGTTCTAACCACTATGCTAAGAGCTATGTATACATACCTTCATTAAATCTTGTACCGATCGATACTCTAAGCAAGATTCTCTCCTCATTTTGCAGATAAAGAAACATACTTTAGAGAGTTTAGGTAACTTACTCCAAATCACGCAGCTATTGGATGGTAGGGCTGGGTTTCAAGTCTAAGTCTGTATGCCTCCAAATTCCATGAGCTTTCACCATACCACAACTCCAATCACTATGCGATTCTCAAGCTATGAAAGGATCGGGTCATCAAATTCATTCAGAGTTCAGTTGTTTGGAATTTGGACATATCTTTCTTAGAAATAATATCTAAATGCTAAGCTGCAACACGATATAAAGATCAACCCTCCAAAGCTGGTGAAACCACGTCTACTCACACACAGTGAAACCACGATTTCAATAGGATGTTGCTTGTGAGCTCTGTCTCCCAGCTGCACATAGGAGAGAATAATGAAACTAACACTGGGGTGAGGACAAGGCAGTACTGAGAGGCTGGGTCACAAATTTCATGTATGTGTACAGAAAGAGGGAGCAGAGACGAGGTCTGCCTCAGGCCAAAGCCACGGATCCAGGGGGGCTGAGCTGGGGGCAAGGCAGAGGTCCTAGGGGTGCATGAGGGAGCCCTGGGTGGAAACCTAGCGAGCCCTCGGGAGGTCTCAGGGTATCAAACCCAAATGTTTCCAAGAGCCGGGCTAGTAAATGGTGGAAGCAAGCCAGATGTGACGCAGAGGGAATGGTGGTGACCACGCCCACGGGAGACTGTGTGACCCACCTGAAGGCAATAAACATAATTTTAATAGAAACACAGGGATGACCAAACGTCACTTGCCCAGTTATTACTAAAATGGGGTTCTCTGACCTTATGGATTAACCCTTGGGCCTTCTGATTTTGTGGAAGGGCAGGGATTGGTGAGGCTGTTGTGGGTAGATGGACGATCTTTGGGGGTAGGAGCCTCACGAGACCTCGGGGCCCTGCTTAGCAATGGGGAAATGTGGGGCCACGGCCGTGGGGGGGGGAGGGGTCAAGGAGCTTTCCGCGGTTGCTGCTCCCACTTGTGTGTCATTACAAATGAAGCATTCCTTCCTTGCTTCTAGCCAATGTTTGGCTGTGGGGGAAGAGAAAGAAGCCAGAAACTAACATTTGTTGAAACCCGCACTGTTTCATAGCCACCATTTTATTCCAGCCTATTATTTTCCCGATTCGTATATGTGGCAAAAACTAGCTAGATAATTTACCAAACCTGTTTCCTTGTCTTCCTTGGTGAGCGACTGGACCTATTTCCCAGTGTGCTTTGCAATTAATTATAGCTCCAGGACTGTTCCAGACACGAGTGCCAGAGTGGGAGTCATGTGTGACACTTTAGGCCAGGCATAAAACGCTGACACTTGCCTTGGTACCCCATCATCCTCCCCCTGCCTTTGGGCTAACATACACGAACCTGATAACCTTAAAAACCATGTTTAGAAAATGGTAGAGCCCAGGTATCTACACTCCCTCTTGGAGGAGAAGGGCCTATAGGTTACAAACACCTGTTTTGCACTTTATATGAACAAGAAATAAACTCCCTTTCATAGAGGCAATTTACATTTTTGGGGGTGTGTGTTTATTATAGCAGTTAGCATTGCCTTAATCAGTACAGTATTTTTATGCCCATTTTATAGAGAAGCAAACTGAGGCTCAAAGAAGTCAAGTAATTTGCCCAAGGTCACACAACTGAAAAGTAGGAATTTGAACCCAGATTTATCTAGCTCCTGAGCCCGGCTCTTTCTATGACAACATACTGTTTTCAAGGTAACCAATAACTTCTGTAGTGCCTACTTCGTGGCTTCTCATCCTATTGTAATCCACTTCCCAATCTGATGAGAGCCTCCAAATTCTAAGCACGTGGGAGGAAAGAGTTGAGGTAATGGGGGCTGCATCGTCAGGATTGCACTCTAACATCAATTTGCTTAGGAGGGCATCCACAGGCCACTCGCAGGTCCTTCAGAAAGCCAGGTGGGGCCGCTGGCAGAGAAGA